GGGGGGGGGGGGCTCCGACAGGTGTCAGGGAGGCTGGGACAGGGTCACAGTGAAGCCACCAGCCTTGAGAGGACCTTGCGAAAGACAACCACCCCAGCCTGCTTCAGAGCATGCACAAGAAAACCCACAGGCAGCACCCCAAATGGGCCTGGGGCTAATGGCTGGAGATGCAGGGACCTCCCGACTGTCCGTCTGTAGAGCCAGTGCCTGGCCCCACGGACCTGCAGGTACAAAGGCGCCCCCCGATTCCTCGGGATGCCTGGCGGGGGGAGGGGCAGGTGCATCTGCTGACACTCCCTCAGCCCCTCAGGCTGACAGCGGGGTCCCCTCACCAGAAGCCCCGAAGGGGATGATGTGCTGAGGGACAGTGACCGCTGCCCAGGGGAGTCGCAGAGGCTATGCATGAGAAGCTGCCCACTGGGGAGAGGGAGCCTGGGGCGTGGGGGACCCAGGCAGCCTGCCCCAAGGTCCCCTCCAGCCAGGTCCCAAACTGGCCCCAAGCAAGAGCCACGGGGACCCTCCCGGCCCGGGAGCACCTGGCCTCGGGCCTGCTCGTCCACGCGGCTGCGGCCGGCAGGGAACAGCCGCGTGGCTCAGTCCTGGGCTAAGATGGGGTGGGGGGGCAGCAGGTGCGCACTGAGCGGGCCCAGGAGAGGCATCGGGCACCGGTCCCTGGTGGAGAGCAAAAGCCCAGGGCACCTGCCGGTCAGGAGCTGAGGCCCCACCAGAAGCAGGCGGTGGGAGCCGGCCTGGCCCAGAGGAGAGGGGAGAAGCTGGGGCGGCCGGGAAGCGGGGGGCTGCACTGGGCAGCGGGGCCCTGGCCTCTGCCGGTCCTTGTTCTGCAGCCCAGGCACGTCACCTGGCGTCCCCTGGACCAGAGGGGGCTGGAGGGGTGAGTAAGGCGTGTTCTGGGGCCTTGGGGACAGGGCTGGGCCTGCAGGAAACTGCAGAGCTCCCCCAGGCAGCCACCCCTGCCACTCCAAGGGCACAAATGGTGGTCGTGTCCCTCAGCCTCAGCCAGGTCCACACACGGTCACTGCCCGCTAACCGCTTCTCTGACTCTGCCAGCTGGAGCGCCCACAAGCTGTCCTGGTGAGGCAGGCGCCCTCCCTGCCTGCCACGGCCTCATGGGGAAATCACTCTGGCAGGGACCCAGCAGGCGGGCCTCGGGCCAGGCCCCGGAGCTGCCCACACAGGGGTGGATGG